TATTATTTGCTTATCTATAGAAATTTAATTATTATTTATATTAGTTATACTGCATGTTATTCATTAATTTTATATTGTTATATTTTTTTTTACAGTGGATTGCTATAGTTCTCGCTGCACGGAGGCTGTTGAATCCACCCAACCGTTGCAACAGCCAAATCCATTTGACCCCCAGAGACGAGGTCAGAAGGAGGTTCCTACTGATGTGGTTATGGAGACTCCAGCTTCAAATGTTGATATACAGGCCAAGTCTCCCAATGATGAGGATACACTTGTGGCTACCCCCCAACAGAGACAAGGACGGGGGCAAGCTAAGCCTGTGCAGATGCCTACAAATGGGACGAAGATCCCATTAGAGCTAGATGAGTATAGAGTTTGCCACAACATGTCAGACGACAGATTGTGGTCCAGTTGCGGGAGAATCTCCCAAATGCTTACACATCGTGGGTACAGGTCCGTTGTGAGCATCGAGACATGTATTGGAATATATTCATTATATGCCCTAAACACTTAATTTCTATCTACAAATTAGATATTTTCAATTTCTATCTTCAAACGTTAAGTAATTTGAATTTTTTTGTTATTAAATTATTTATTTATTTATATTTCTATTATTTTCAGCAAACATATGAATGGGATCCTACAATTGATAAGATTGTAAAGGATTTATGGAGCATAACAGAAAAGATGAAGTTCAAGCATGTACTTAGTGAGTTGAAAGCTAAGTGTGCAAGGAGAAACTTTCTAGTTAAGCCTCCAGATATGAATCCAGAGTTATGGGCGAGGCTTGTTTATTTATGGACTGAGGTAATGGAGTAAATTCATGTGTTTATTATTATTATTTATTTTTTAATTTTCAATTGCAATGTTTAATGTTTTTATCATATTATTAATTAAGAAAATATATGTGTTCACCACTTTTATAGGACGAGAGTCATTTGAGAAGGTCAAGTTCTGCAAAGGCTAATCGAGCAAAAGGACCGAGAGTGACGCATACTAGCGATTCAATGGATGTTAATGTTTATAGAAAGAAAATGGTATAAAAATTAACATATTTTTAATAAATAATTAATAAATTATGATTTATAATTTATTTT